CCGGAAGGTCTCAGAGGCCACCCAGGAGGTCCCTATGTCGCACTCGCTCGCCGCCGCCCAGGCCCCGCTGGTGCTTTGGAGACCACAACAACCCCGCTCCGCCACACGGTCCTGGCACTGCCCCGGGGCGCGAACCGGGGGCCGAGCAGGACAGGGAGCAGACACGGCACTTGCACGTACGCACAGGTTTTCCCGGCGGCAGGAAAACGTGCCTTGAGCGCGTTCCCGTTGGCGCTGGATGGGGACGGAGCGGGACGAGGACCGGGACCGGGACAGGGGGCGGAGCCTGGGCCCGAGCGACGGTGACGTGTCTGTTGGGGGCGTGGCCTGCGCAGCGGCGCTATAAACGCCGGCCGCCGAGCCGCTGTCGCTGCCGTTCTCTCCGCCCCGTGTGTCTGTGTGTGTCCCGGCTCCCGGCCGCAATTCCTGCTGCGCCACAGCCATGGCGGCGCTGACGGTGAAAGCCTACCTGCTGGGCAAGGAGGAGACGGCCCGCGAGATCCGCCGCTTCACCCTGCCGCCGCCCGCCCGCTACCGGGCCATCTACGACCGCGTCGCCGAGCTGTTCCAGGGGCTGCTGCGGGCCGGGCCGCCGCCCGCCTTCCGCATGCACTACAAGGGTGAGCGGGGCTGGGGCCGGGCCCGGGGGTGGCAGATCACGGGGCTCTGGGTACCCCGTTCCCCCCCGTGACACCCGTCCGGGCCCCTCATCCTGCGCTTCGCCCTTTCCAGATGAGGACGGGGACCTGATCGCGTTTTCCACCGACGAGGAGCTGGAGTTGGCGATGCCCTACGTGCGGGATGGCGTATTCCGTGTTTATATCAAAGGTACGGCCGCGCAGCTCCGGAGGGCACGGCGGGTCTCGGCTGAGCGCTTCCTGGCAGCGCTCCCAAAGCGGGAGAAGCCGGCCCTGGCCCTTGCCGTGTCCTCGAGGGCCTGCTGGAAACTGCGGCCTCTGCGGGGGAGGTTAAATAAAGGGCAGTGTAATATGACAGAACATGAATTTGAGGTGGGATAAACAAACCACAGGTTTCCTCCTGGCCCTATCAGCTGGCCCACTTCGAGGCTCTGTTGTCATTCTCGTTCCCTGGATACACTCAGCTAGCACTGGTATCCCAAATATTCACAACGTGTTAGCCTTAATTCCTCATTCCCAGTGGATAGCTGCTCCCTAGTCTGTTGTGTTCAGGTAGAAGCCCTCAAAGCTTTATCTGCAGCCCATCTAATGAGCCACACCTGTTGTCCCCGTTCTCATGTTATGCTTCCTGGCATCTGCATTCCTAACCCTGGAGAAGTCCAGAAACATTTTGTTCTTGCAGTGCTTAGGAAGGTAGGATGAGAAGCCAGATGAGGTGGTGCAGTACTAATCTGAATTAAGCATGCCAAGAGATATTTAGGATAAGGTATGCTTGGTTTCAGTAGAAGGTATCTTTGCAAAACCTCTTTGCACATGGTTTAAGGTCTCTTACATGAGCCCAGCTTAGGTTTGACAGCCAGTATAAAAATAAAGTGACCTAGTAAGTCAACACTGCTCTGATGGGCTGTTTGTGCTTCCTCCTCTGCCTGACTTCCAGGCTGTAAATAGTAACCTGATCTTGATGTGAGTTTCCTTTCCCTAACAGAGAAAAAGGAGTGCAAGCGGGAGCACCGCTCGCAGTGCAGCCAGGAGCCTCCCCGCAACATGGTGCACCCCAACGTCATCTGTGACGGCTGTGAGGGACCTGTGGTGGGCACCAGGTTCAAGTGCAGTGTCTGTCCAGACTATGACCTGTGCAGCACCTGCGAGGGGAAGGGCATCCACAAGGAGCACAACATGGTGATGTTCCAAAGCCCACTGCTTAATCCATTTGAGGTGAGCAAAATCTATGGCAGGGAACTGACGAGTGGGAGAGTCCTCAAACTCAAGTTAGGAGTTTCAGTTGCTCAGAACCCAGTGTCACATGAATGTCACTCTTTACAGTGGCTTCCCCGAGGACGCTGGCTCCGTAAAATGCGCCATGGTGTTCCACCCTTCCCATGGATGCACTGCTGGGGGTATCCTGGGCCTGCAGCTCCCTGCCAGAACTCGGAGCAAGCTGAAGCCACTGCTGCAGCCCCCAGTGCACCTGCTGCAGAAGGTGAGAGGAGACCTGGTAGACAAGGTGGTGGTGGAGCCTCAGACCAGCTGAGGTTCTGCAGCACAGGGTAGAGTCTGGGTGGGAAAACAAACAAAGGAACAAATCTAATTTGCTTGAAATAATTGGCACCTTTCAGCACTAAGTATGATTACTTTAAGGTGTGCTTGGGTCCATGCAGTCAATAGGATAAAGTATCTGGAACCCAACCAAGTTGGGCTGGCAGGTCAAGCATGTCACTATTCTACTCCAGATCTGCCTTTCAGCATGGGTAATGAGCCATAACAATGCTAATGCTGGCTTTCTGTTCCAGAGGTAGCTCAGTTAGTTTCTCTCTGTAGTGCTTTGTTCTGTAATGTATGCGAGTGACAGGAATGAGCGCTAAGCTCCTGTGGGGACACACCCTCTGCAGGTGCCCTTTCCCTCGGAGCTTGTGTGTGCTAACAGAAATTGTTTTTCTAGAAGCTTCTACTAACAGCCAGCCTCAGGACCCCAATGTCACCTTCCTAAAGAATGTTGGGGAGAGTGTTGCAGCTTTTCTGAGTCCCCTGGGTAAGTGACCTACAGTTTGTTACCAGTCCCTGAGACTGGCTTACAGGTCTGTTGAACAGGAGCAGCAGTCAGTTGTTGTGACTGGTCTTGGCACTACTCCTGTATCCTAAGCCTCAAAGGCTTAATTTAGACTTGGATACTAATAATGCTTAGGCTTAGAACAGCCACTCAGTACCTTTTCTGTGGGAGAAAATGAGGAAAGATTTCATTTATGTGTCAGCACTGTAACTTCAATCAGTGGTGACTCTGGATTTCGCCTGGTTTATGTGGACATATTAAAGAAGGCTTTGCATTTTAATTCCTGCATGTTACATGGCAGATTGTAGGATGACAGAAACCTTAAGACTGTAGAGTATGATTGATCCATTTAGGACTGTGCTTTGGAAAACCCTCTTAGGATTTTGTCCATCTCAAATGCTTTTCTAGGTATTGAAGTTGATATCGATGTGGAACACGGAGGACAGAGAAGCAAAGTGACTCCCACTTCTGCCAACCAAGAGAACACCAATGCTGAGGCACCCAGCAGTGCTCCAACCCAGAATGTTCAGACCAAAGCAGACTGGAATAACACAGAGTCTGCTGCACAAGTAAACGTCATTGCAGAACAGATGCAAGACATGGTGGTAGATCCTGCGCCCACACAAATGGAAGATGGCATCTTCCAGGTACAGGAACCATGACAGTAATTGAATGCAATCACTTAGCATGCACTGTGGGAGTGAATATTATGATGAGAGCAGATTAAGAGATTTACAGCAAAGGTGGTGGGACTTCTTGTGGATGTAATTCTTTACATCGAAGGCAAGTAGGAGTGTGCATACTGCCTGGAAAGCACTACAGCACCTGGACCCTTTTTTTTTCCACTTTAGGAACACAGTGAGTCTAGCAGTTCATCGGGGGGTGAAGAGGACTGGACCCACTTATCATCCAAAGAAGTGGATCCTTCCACAGGTGAACTGCAGTCTCTGCAAATGCCAGACACAGATGGTCCCAGCTCCCTGGATGTGCCTCGGGATCCTCCCCAGCCAGGACCTACAGGACTGAGAGAAGCTGCTCTCTACCCACACCTGCCCCCAGGTAGGAGAGTGTTTCAGCAGGTTTCATAGCTAAGAGTAACTCTGGCTTGGGAACTGTCTCAGGATCCTCCCCAACCAGGACCTACAGGACTGAGAGAAGCTGCTCTCTACCCACACCTGCCCCCAGGTAGGAGAGTGTGAGCAGGTTTCATAGCCAAGAGTAACTCTGGCTTGGGAACTGCCAGCTTGGCCTGACACAAGCAGACTTGTTTTAGAGGTGGTAAAAACCAAAGTTGTGTAAGATAGAGCTAAACTGTCCCTGACCTGGCCAGGTTTGGCAGCTCTTGCACCCTGTTAGACATGATCAGGTGGTTCCTCTCTTGAATGTGGGCTGATAAGTCTTAACCATGTGTCTGACCTTGGGCTACTATGCCATTTGAGCAACACAAAATAGGTGCTGTCCTCAATCATGTCCTTGCTGTGTACTGCTCAAGAGAGCCTTTTAATGCAGGATGTGGACCAGTACATCCTGTGGCTTTAGAGCAGCACTTTGCTGCTGGGAGCCAGTAACAGTATCCAAGGCCCCTCAGCTGCCATCAGCAGCAGAGTCCCACAGCAAGGCCAGCTGAGCCTGACTAAGCACTTTCCTTAGCTCTGATTATACATTGTTTATCTCAAACATCTGCACTCCTGGGAGACAAAGAAGAGCATGTCTCCTCTCAAAGAGTGCTATTAAAGCCTTGCCTGGTTTTCCAATTACATGAAATAGCTGAACTCTATTCTTTCCACAGAAGCTGACCCTCGCCTCATCGAGTCTCTGTCCCAGATGCTCTCCATGGGCTTCTCTGATGAGGGTGGATGGCTCACTCGGCTCCTGCAGACCAAGAACTGCGACATTGGGGCAGCACTAGATGCCATCCAGTATTCTAAGCAGCCACCTCACTTGTAGTAGTAACATAAAGCACTTTTCTAGCTGAAAGCAGACAACGCATCATGAGCTGTTGTGGTTCATCGTTCTTCCTACTCTGGGTTTCTGTCTCATGTTCTTAAGTACTTGTAGAATGGAGAAAAAATAAATACTGCTGCATGTCATGTGTCTGTGGAACATTTCAGTATCACAGCTACGTTATTTATGGATGAGGCTGAAAACATGGACTCCCTTCCTGCACATACTTTGGTGTGCACCTGGGGCTACACTTAGGAAGAGGAATACAATGCTTTGCTGGCTCTGGAGCTTGCTTACAGCTCTGGAAGAAAGGGTTGCTATGGGAGATTTCAACAAAGATGTAGTTTGGGGAAAAAGAGCTTTAGTTTTGAAGGAGGAGTCAATCACAGAATTTAATTGTACAGGCCAGGAATCCTTAAAGCCTGGGAGCTTTCCCCAAGCTGACCCAATTCCATTCCTATTTCTAGCTGCTGAGGTTGCTAGACAACCCTGTAACCTGAGAGCAACAGTCTCTTCTCCCTCCTTCCCTTCCCCCCAAACAACCATCAAGCAAGTAAACAACTTTAATAGTGCAGTTCTCTATGGCTTTGAGTGAAATCACCATTAGTTCAAAAGTGTATCAGTAAACATAATCTCAAATGCATTAGAGCCAAGAAAGACATGCCAAAGATGCCTGAACTTCAGAGATCATCATCAAACTCCTCACCTGTGCAGAAGAGTTGCTCATGACAAATGTTGCTCAGCTTTGGTCTAGGGTAAGAGTTAACAAGGGTGTTTGCCCTCCCCGTGGTATCCAGGCAGCACCTTCCTGCTGCAGATCCCACCCTTAGCACCTGCTTGTGAGGTTCTCTGAGCACATCCTCAACTGGGCACCTGCTGCTGGGCAGTGTTGAGGCCAGATCCTCAGTGCTAGCAACACACTTTTTAAATTCAAACCCTGGATCCTGAGGCAGAGTTCTTCCAGCCTGTTCTGAGCACCTCCAGGCCCCACCAGCAGCTGTGCTGTCCAGCCCCACACTCCCACTGCCCTCCTGCAGTGCCATGGTCACTGCAGCAGCATTTTCACTAGAGCTGTCAGGTAATGAGAGAAATTTTCCCCACTTGGATGGTTTGGTACAAGCAGGTGGGGGCTGTGTATTCTCCTCGGGGACTAGAGTCTCACAGACAGCAGGAACCACACTGCCTCCAGAACCAGCATCTCCATCATGTCCATCAGGCACTGCTACAAAGCATTTCTTGAACTGTAAGAAAGGAGAGAACTTGGTTATAAATGCAGCATAAAAGCATTAAAGGTGGCACTGGCTTTGTCTAAATAAAATCTTTCTGAGAGGAAACCCCCACACATTTTTTTTTTCTCCCCAGCCATTCATTGGCTTGCTTGGAGAAGAACAGAGAAAGACTCATAAAAATTCAAAATGATGATGATACAAAAGAGGTCAGGAGCATCTTCTATAAGTAAAATACCTCAGTGGTTTTAACTTTTTTGGCTTGACAGACAAGCTGAGAAGCTCCACTTTCTTCTGCATGCTCTGGAACAGCACTGGAGAGGAAGCGCTTTGGGTGTTTCCTGGCCAAGAAAACCATTCACAAAGGGGACAGATTAGATCCACTGTGATTCTTTTCACAGATCACCAGAGAAGTTCATAAAATGGATGGCTCAATACCCCCAAATACCAAATCCCTGCTCAGCTCAGGTCATACACTGCAACTCGCACCTTTAGCTCAGATCTGAGTTGAGCTCCCTCCCACACCTCCAAATCAAGTGTCACCCCTCGGGGGCAGGAATTGCAAAACCAAGTTCTCTCTCTACCTTTGTTCTCCCACAGTGCTCTTTCTCTGGGAACAGAACTGTTGCCTTTCCAGAGCTGCCTCCTCCTCTTCTTCTTGATCCTCACTCTCCTGCTCCAGATATTTACTCCAGCGACTGCCTTCTGTCCTTCCCTCCTACAACACTGGAGAATTACTAAAACCAGCAAAACATGGAGGTTCTCATTTTTGGTATTGTTACACATGTGCTGAATGCCTCAAATCATGAATGAGTTTAGGACATGCTCCTGTATCACGTTCCCAGGTTCAGTCCCCAGTGGAGCAGGTTCTGTGTACACCTCTGTCTCTGCAGGAGCCTCTCTGACTTCATACATCATTTCAACTGTCTGCACCACATAAAGGGATCACTGGTTTCACCAGGATTCACCCAGGACAGAATGGGTTTGTATTTGCCTCAGCTTTTCAGGGATCTTACCTGCTGGACTGAACTGTCCTCATGCTGTGCTTCTCTATTTTTGCTGTCATTTACAGAGTCTTCTACACACCTAAAATAGAGGTTTAAACTACAATTTCTAGAACACGCTCCTGTCTGTTGATTTATAGGCTTCAAATCACCCAGTCATAGCACAAGGGATTGAACAGAAAGCATGGATAGGAACACTGGATAGAAGACATATCAGAAAAACCAGGACCTATGGAAAAACTTATGCTAAATGATTGCTTTACAAGATACTTTGCACAAATACTTGATTAAATCTAGTTACAGGCTCTAATTAGAGCCCTCCTTGTTGCTATACAAAGTTGCAAGTTTGAGTTAAAGCCACTAATTAAGAAATTATAAATTTAATTGATCACAGCTAGGGATATAACAGTGTTTGTTTGGTACAACAGTTTAAACTCACTCATTTTATCCCATGAAAGCAGGGAAAAGGGAAGTTGTTTCATAATGTTTTGAATTTCACAATTATTTGAGAATAAAAATAGCAACACTTTTTGATAAAGTGAACAATGAGTTTTCTTCCCCAAGCTTAACTGTGAAGCACTGTGTAGTTACAACCAAGTTATATAACCACCCTTGACCGATCTCTGAAAATAACTTTGAGTAAAAAGGAGACTGCACGAGTTCAAGACCACTTCAAGATTACATGAATTATAAACAGATTTAGAAATGAAATAAACAGGAAGGTGCTACTCAGATTTTCCAGCCCAGCAGGAATTACACTGAAGTGTTTACCCTGAACAAGTCTTTTAGAGATTCACAGTGTGAACCCCCTAAATGCCAACAGTCAGGCAGCAACTTCTTCAAATGGATGTTTTTTGAGGATGTAATGTGATGAGGTCTGTAATCTGTAAAAGGGACATCTCCACAGTCAGCTCATCAAACAGTACATAAGAAAGACCAAATAAAAAAAAATAATCAAAACCCAACAAACCCAAACCCTATTGTGCGCATATTAATGAGTAAAGTCCTGACCAACATATGCTATGGATCACCTATAATTATCTGAAAGAAATCCTTATCTAAAGAAACATGCTGGGACATGAAACCCCCAACAAAGAGCCTGTTCCTGTGAGGTGAGGCCAAAACCAGCACGGTCAAGGCTTCCCAGCAGGCCAGAAAGCCTTGCTGCGACATGCTCGGGCTGGCCAGCACGCACCCAGTGTGTGAAGATGCACATCAGCTGCAGCCCGCCAAACGCCGTGAGCAGGTAAAGGTTAAACTCTGTACCGGGATGTCCAACCCAGCGCCTCCTCCGCTTCGCCCTGCAGCAAGTTCAGCTTCTGCACGTGGCGCCTGCACTCCAGCCCCGAGCCCTGCCCATAAACCTGCACAGAACGAACGAGGACAAGGCTGAGGGAGCAGGCAGGGGGCACAGCACGGGGTGAGGGGACAGCCCCGGTGTCACCGAGGGCCGCACACGCGGCTGGGGGGGCAGGCCTGCCCTCACCTTCTGCACGGCCTGCCGCTGGCCGCACACGCTGCAGCTCCACCGCCGGCTGCGCTTGGCCTGGGAGGGCACAGAGGGGTCGGTCAGGGCCCGGAACCCACTGCCCCCGTCCCGTCCCGTCCCGTCCCCACCTGCTGCCCCTGGAAGCGGCGGCAGCAGCAGCACCTCAGAACCCAGAACTGCTGCGCCATTGCGGTCACGTGACCCCCGCGGCGAGCCGCCAGCGCCCCTCGGCGGCGGCACCGGGAACGGCACCGGGAACGGCACCGGCCCCGGGAGGGGCTCTCCCCTCTCACAAACCAAACGCATCAGGTCACCGGCCGAGCGCCCCTCCCGGGGCAGACGCCGCTTTGCCGGGGCCGGCTGGCGGTGCGTGCCCTCCGTGCCTGCAGCCGCAGCCGCAGCGGTCACGTTCGCACCGACCTGCAGGTGTGTCGGTCTGTGTCAAAAATAGGTTAGAAACTGGTGTAAAATAGTTGGTACCTGTTAAGCATTGTCAGTTTGGTTGTTATATTGTAAAAGGGGTTCAAAGGGCAGTTATAAGAAATACTGTACTCAATGTACCGTATTGCACCTAAGTAAAGTGTGCTGCCCCCCAAGCGAAACGAGCCAGCCTGGACAGAGCTGTAATGGCCAATCGAGCGCCTTAAACCTTCACGCAAATGAAGGATCCGAACAGAAACGAAAGGGACAAAAAACAGCCTGGAACATCGCATCTGAGCCAGTGAACCTGTGCCGCTCCTCCTGGAACATCGGGGACGTGGCTGCTCGAGAAAGAAAGAAGACCGCGCTGCAGCATCCTCGAGGGGAACGCTCCTGCTCGGCCCGCGGGTCCCCACGCTTCAGGCCTTGTTACAATAGATGTTGAAATAACTTTTAGTACTGGGAATGTGGTCCCGTTTTTAACAGTCTGTAAAAAATAAATCTACAGAGTAATAAGGAAAAGGGGGGAAAGAGGGGGAAAAATGATGAAAAAAAAAAAAACAAGGGGGAAAAAGAGGGGGAAGAGGGAAAAGAAAGGTGGGAAAAGGGGAAAGAAAAGAAAGGAAAAAATAGGAAAAAAATGAAGGAAAAAAGAAAAGGAGAAAAGAAAAAATATGAAGAAAACTAAAAAAAAAAAAAAAAAGAAAGAAAAATGAAGGAAAGAAAGTCCACTTGTTGGAAAATATACCAAGTTAAAAATTTTTTACATAACTTTAGTTATGTAAAAAGGGTTTCATTCGCCTTTGCCCCGGAGAAAAATTTTCTTTTCAAGAATTGTTTCATCACTCAAGGCATGATGAGCTTAACGTCTCAGCAGACTGGGAGTAGCACAGAAGATACACAAAAGATAACGACCATTAAGGACCATCAGCGACCATCGACTCCAAACAGCACCCCTGGCACGGTCAGGACACCTGGCCCAGCAAAGACCGATAAGAGAACCAAGGAATGATAAGAGAACCAAGGAACGAGGGCCACATTAGCGTCGGAGGTGAAGAACTCTGTTACCAAAAGAAACCAAATACTAAGGACTGTGTACCTTGGGACCAATAAACATTGAACAAATTAATTTCTATGGGTTTTAATTCTATAAGTATCTGAAAAATCTATTTAAGAGCCATGTGTCATGGAACGATTTTTTCTGCACACCTGGGCTAGGTGTGGCTGAAATTATTTCTTTGCACACCCTAGACAGAATAATGCAATGCTTTGATTCTCTAATATTAAAAATGTTGGAGGGTTTCCTTTTCCCCACAGTTTTGGTGACACATTCTTTCTGAAACTGGGTAAAGAACCAGCAATATTCCAGAGCTCAGAGAGAAATAAAAGGTAGCCAAATAGTCAATAGGATTCTGATTCATTTATTGAATACATGACAAGTAAGACAGACAGTGTAAAATCACATGTATTATTCGTACTTTAAAAAATTACAATAAATTACTGAATAATTAGTAAAAGCAGTTTTACTAATGGCTGCTCTCCAGTGATACAGGACAGAGGAGGCAGAAAAATAAGAAGTATGTACCAGCTGTGAATACAGACCAAAAATGTCATGAGGATGAATTAACACTGAGCAGCACACCAAGTAGTGTCAAATGGGAACATCCACATGTGTCCTTCCTACCTTTAGATCCCAAGTGCCAGCCAAAAGCTGGATCACACCTTGCCTTCAGTGCAGGGTCTGCTCTGGCCGAGCAGCAAGGCCCTGCCCCTGCAAGGCCACTGACTCTGTGCTGAGATGAATTTACCTGTAGTAACAGCATTACTTCTCCCTTGGGGAACATACCCTGCTACCAGAAGGGCTACTCGTAGTTTCCTATGGGTTTAATTTCAAAGAGCACTCACTAAGTCTCCCAGTTACTTTGTCTCTAACTGGAATGAGCTCTGCTATTCCCGCAAGGGGCTGATGGCAGAGCCAGGCTGCTCTGTATTCTTCCCCTTTAGGTCAAATGCCCTGGATGTGCAGCTGTTTCTAAGAGCCATTGCTAACCTCTCAAGGAAGGACACTGAGCAGCAGTGGGTGGCACAGGGCTCCTGCACAGCTTCTGCCCCAAGCATTTGTGAGGGCTGACTGATCAGATAATTCTTAGGGGTATTCCTAAAGGGCCCCTAAGGTCCTCCTCCTAGGAGGTCCTCCTTAGGGTACCATCACTAGCTAGGAAAAACGGAATCAGCACTAAATAGTGAATGTATCATCTGGGAAAGTCCAGCAGACCAGTGTGCCACTCCCCTGGAATGCTGAGGCTGATTCACTGACTTCTATTTTAGGAACTTATTCCCTCATTATAACCATCATGAGCTCACTGATTGACTCAGTATCACTTCTGCACTGAAGTCAAGGAGCTTGTGGCTTCCCAGACAAACTAAAAAACACAGCTTTCAAAGAAACAGAAAAGCAAATGCTAGACAACCAGGTTTACCTGAAAATTCCTGAATTCCAAAGGAGAAAGTAACTGATCGTGCACTATGAAAATGCCAAATCACATGTGAAAGAAACCTGCAGGTCTGAGCAAGGTCTGTGTTTAGGTCTTAGGGTGCTGGGAGCAGTGGGGCACATTTGCTTTACAGCTGCTGAGTCACAGAACAGCTTACAAGAACGTACAAGATTATTTATAGGTCAGAGTCCTACAGCACTTGACTACACTGCATTAGCTCTCAGACTGGCAGCCAGAGGTGAGCATGGTTTCAAGCCAGGCTGCATCTGCTGTGCAGTTACCCAGGAACCTACAGCAAACAAGGGCAGGCAAGGAGCAGTTACTGTCTGAAATAAAACTTCATTGAAATAAAAGATAGCAAAAGGCAGACATGCATAATTTATGGTGGTAATTCTACATGTCAGGGGCTATTAGGTTCTAATGGCTCTCAAGAATGTAAATCTAATTCTCTCAGCCAGAGTAGCCAAAGAAACACCTACACAGTCGCTGTCAGGAGCCCCTTATCAATTGGATTCTATTGTAATTGTGTAGTTACTGAATACACAAAAAAAAAAAACCCAAACAGAAAATACCAAATCATCCTGCCATCTGCCACACTATCTTCTTGTTTTATCTCCCAAAGACAACTCCTGAATTCTTGAGCTCACCCTGATGCAGAGGAAAGTTCATAGTCACTGGATGAACTAAACTGCCTCTCTACTTTCTTCTGATCCTTGATCTTTTGAAGAATGTTGACCTTTTTCTCAAAGTAGTTTACAAGGGCTGTTTCTGTCAGCATGGAGGCCAAGATCTGCTCGAAGGAGATGGACCAGTCAGTGTCAATGGTGCTGCCATACCTGGCAGCTGCACTGCTGCCCTCACAGCCCACCAGCACCGTGTCGTCGGCGATGTCTTCGCACTGCAGGGAGCCTGTGCTGACCATGGAGTAGGAAGACATGGACATATCATCTTTGGTTTCATCATCTGATAGCAGCTGTAAAGGAGAGCCTTGTCCTTCCCCTGACCCATCTCCTAGAGTCTGGTTTTCCTGCTGGGTTTTTTCAGGCTGAGCATCAACACTGGCTTTGTCCTCATGGTCAGCTTGGGATTGCTGCTCCACTGCTGAATTCTGACTCTGTTCAGATGTTGGTGACTCCTCTTCACTCACAGGATCTTGGGTACTGTTTGCTTTGCAGTCCTCAGACTTCCTCGTGGGCTTGTTGGAGAATTTTTTTCCAACTTCGCCAATCCTCAGCAGCAGACTGGCCACAGTGGCGATGGCATGGTACAGCTCCTGCTCCACGGGGTCCTCACTGAACATGTTGTAAAGGGTCTTGCATAACTCTATGAACTGTTCCTTTAAAACACAAAGACCAAATAATCATGTATCAGGCTGAAAAAACTTGCTAGTGGTGGATGAAGCAACAGGCACCATCTCAAATGACTCACTGCTTATTTGCCTCCCCACCAAGTGGCAACTTACTGCACTGATTCAGAACAGTCTGACACAGACAAACTCCCCCCTCTGTGTTGTGGCTAAATTGAGACACAGCTAGCAATTTAATAGTGGTGGGTTTTCTGCTGACAGATGAACAGAATAGTCACATATTCACTAATGCTAAGAAAACCTGAAGTTTGACTTCTATTCTGCTACTCTTCTGTGGTCAGCTTCTAAGCATTTCTGAACTGGTTTAAGTAGCACCCATCAAGAAATTAGAGACAGAAAAGATCACGCCAGTCATCTGACTCTCTCTTCTGTAACCACATTCTTCACTCTCCACCAAGCAGCTGTAACTTGAAGCAATGCAAAACCAAAAAAGCTGAAAAAGTTTCTGTGTCTGATGGCATATTTGAAACATCCTGCTCTGGAGGGAAAACAGAGTGCAGTTCTTACAGGAAAACTGGTCTGAAGTGAGGCTGAGTGAATCCATTACATTTGATTGGTTGATACAAAGCAGTTTGTCCATATCCACTGCATAATTCAACAGAAATGTGTGGAATTCGAGGTCCTAAAGCTCACCAGATCAGAACAGCAGGGAAAGCTGTGGGCAAGGACTGAACATAGTGGCACAATGGCTGCACATACTGCAGAATTCCACTAAACTGCCAATGATCCAACTGGAAACCTTCATATTCCTTTCTTACCTGGCTCATTTTGGGGAGATCTTTAATGGTTTCTTTCTTGTTCTCTTTTTCCTTGGCCCACATTCTTAAGTAGTATCTGTAGTCCTGTGGACTGGTACCTTTCTCCTCTACAAGGCAAGAACAAGCCACTAGTCAGGTGGTTTATGGTTTCAGACTTAAAAAGTAAATGCTGAGCCAACAAAAATCAGGCTTAAAGAAGGTGTTATTGACAGCCTAGGAAAGCATCTACCAGGAAGGCTGCATTGTTTTCTGCTGGTTTATCTGATGCAGCTCAATAGAGCAAAAAATTTAACAGTGCTGCATCAGCTTGACTTCTCATAGATGAACTCTGTGAGGTGACAACTTACCCAACATGAATTACAAATGCTGTGATCTTGGTGTGTAAAAGACTAAGAGCAGTAAAGCATAAGGGATGCTTATTTCCCAGCTCACCTCCTGCCTCACCTCTGTCCACAAGGGACACTTTGCACGGTCTCCTTTATCAGCATGAGACAATGAACAGGTCATAATATGAGAGAGATGAGATTAGAATGTGGTCTACTGATGATGAAATTACCTTTTTCTGGGCCATTCTCATTTCTTCTTCCTTTATCTTCTTGGGTTTCTAAAGAATTATGGAATTATAAAATAATTATTAGCCGATTTTCAGTAATACAAAACACAAAGAACTTAATATACAAATTCAAGTTATACAATAGGGGAATACATTTATATATGTACATTTTATATATTATATGTTTAATAGAAGCTAGATCTCACACTCCCATAATCATGGTTAGAGGATTGAACAGAACAGGATGCAAAGCAAAAGGCTGATGGGATGAGCTGGATAAAGAGCCACACAAAAAGTGGGTTGAAGAGCTGAGGTAGAGGGCAGAGGTCTTAAAAGAAAGCCTGAAAACACAG